AATTAGGATTTCCACCGCCCATTTTTATTTAGTCAACAAATATATCTCGTTTGCACCGGCTGTCGGATGAAACTTTATCTAGTCAGCAAATATATAATATAAGCCAACTAAAATTATTTTGGTGGCATAATACCTGCCAATATTTTCGGCCCAAAATTAGGATTTTCACCGACCATTTTTATTTAGTCGACAAATATATCTCATCTACACAGACAAATAAAATAATTTGGTCCGTAAATATTACTAGTGGCTTAAACTTGGTTGGTCGGGAAAACTTGGTCGGCAAAGACTATTTTCATTGACTATTTCAAATGGGTTGGTAAAAGGTTTGTCAGCAAAGATATGTCCGATTAAGTATTTTTAGTGGTCGGTAAAAGAGTATTTTCACCGACTAATTTTTTGGTTAGCTGGGAAAATTCTTGTTTCTTGTAGTGCCGTTTTCTTTTCTTGTTTAAGTCAAAACAGGAACACTTTATGTTGAAGTATTGAAACCCTAATGTGGATGAAGTTAGTTTTTGAGGAACCATATTCACTGTGTGTAATGTGTGCTAAAGACTTTCCATACGATATGATTTGTGGAAAAAATTTCAAGACATTATTTAATTACAAAATAGTTACTTGAATTTTTGGGCGCCGCAGAGTTCTGATCGCAACTAATTAAGCTTGGAATTAGTTGGAATAAGGGTGTGAGACACTACTAATTCATCTCGCATTTTTTATTTTTCTTTCATTAGTCCTAAAAAGTATATATTACACAACATTGTTGGGTTTTTGACTCAAATTAGAGTGGATTTTTCTCAAAAATAAATTATTTCCTTATTTTTATATGGAAAAATTTGTTTCCTTATATGTTACGTGAGTTTTATGGAAATATATTATTTCCTTATTCCACATTTTTTCCATCTTTATGCTATGTCATGTACCTATAAATAGTGGTATCCTCTTTCAGTTTAGTAGAAGACAAATTGTTGTGTCGTTGTATTCTCTCCACATTGTCAATTAATAATACATCTTGCCTCTACGTTTAACTCTCTTTTCTTCTTTACTTTAAACCTCGATATATATATATATATATATATATATATTAACTTCATATCGCGTCATTAACTTCATTCTTTACAACCCCTCGATCCCAACAAGTAGTATTAGAGTTTGGGTCTTCTGTGGATTAGTTGAAGTTTTTTAGAGATGGCTGCCATGAAGTTTGATATTTCGCTGCTCGATTGCAATACAAGATTTTCGTTGTGGCAAGTAAAGATGAGGGCTATTTTGGCGCAGTTGGATTTGGACGATGTGTTGCTGGGTTTTGAGAAGATGCCAGCTAATTGGACAACGGAGGAGAAACAACAGAAGAATCGGAAGGCTTTGTCATTGATTCATCTTCATCTATCCAATAATATTCTGCAGGATGTCTTGAAGGAGAAAACGACTGCTGCTTTATGGTTGAAACTAGAGCAGTTGTACATGACCAAGAGTCTTACTAGTAAACTGGCTCTAAAACAGAAGTTGTATTCCCATCGCATGACGAAAGGAAGGTCGTTGGAAGACCATATTGCCATGTTCAAGAAAATTGTCGCAGATTTGGAAACGTTGGAGGTTAAATATGACGAAGAGGATCTGGCCTTGATTCTGTTATGTTCGCTGCCGGGCTCTTATGTGTCGTTTCGGGACACCATATTATACGCTCGGGATACGTTGACTATAGACGATGTCTATGATGCATTGCACTCAAAGGAGAAGCTGAAGCATCTGGTTGGAGCTACATCAAGTGATGGGGAAGCTCTTGTATCTCGTGGTGATCGACGAAGGGGCAGATTTAGGGAGAGCGGCAATGTGTATTGCTTCTACTGCAGACGGAGAGGACACTTGAAGAAGCACTGTGAGAAGTTGCTGGCTAAAGGTGATTTAGTTGCAAATCATAGGAAGCAATCATGGAATTCAGACGAGACTAATGTGACCGAGGATTTTTCGGATGGCGGAAAAGTGATGTTGACTGTAGTTTCTGACATGGAATCTAAGCCTGACGAGGAGTGGATTCTTGATTCGGTATGTTCGCATCATATATGTTCCGATAGGAATTTATTTCAAACATATGAGGCTGTTCAGCAAGGTGGAGTTGTAATGGAGAACAACGAGTCTTACCCTATTGCTGGAATAGGTCAAATCAGATTGCGGTTGCAGGATGGGAGGGTCAGAACACTTGGCCAAATTCGATATGTTCCAAATCTAAAGAGAAATCTCATCTCGCTGAGTATCCTGGATGCAAAAGGATCTAAATTCTCTGGCGGAGGTGGAGTTTTGAAGGTTCGAAGAGGTGTTCGGGTTGTACTGGAAGGACGAAAGAAATCCCAGTTGTACATATTGCAGGGAAGTGCAGAACCAATTTTGAGACATCGGGACAAGTTCAGTACCGTGGTGGATATACAGTTTGGAACAGTACTTTTTGTGACGGGCTCTGGGTCGGTTTAGAACAATGCTAGGAAGAGCGTTGGTGATTCCACTTTACCACCAATTGCAGCGGATGCACTGTGTTCAAATAGCAGGGGTGGACTCATGAAGCGTAGGTATGGTGGTGTTATTGATGTCTGTGATGATTTTGGGATCGTTGAAGGTGACAATTCTGACAAGGGACCTTCTGATCAAGCACTTGGTTTGGTATCTGCTAGGTGTGCTTCGACCTTATTTAGTCAACAGTAATTCTTTGGTGGAATTTTGGGAATCCAGGATTTGGGTTTAAGTGTCGCTTATAGATGCTTTGCAGAGGAAGATGGTTTGGTTCAGAGAGTTTTGGCTACTGTGTTGAGGAGATTGGCTATTTCGATGCATGCAGACGGATTTGAAATCTTGGAATTTCATTCGTTGCACCGGAATTTTGTTCAAGGTGGAGATTGTTGGATTTTTGACCCAAATTAGAGTGGATTTTTTTTGGAAATAGATTATTTCCTTATTTTTATATGGAAAAATTTGTTTCCTTATATATCACGTAAGTTTTATGGAAATATATTATTTCCTTATTTTACATTATTTCCATCTTTATGCTATGTCATGTACTTATAAATAGTGATATCCTCTTTCAGGTAGGGTAAATATACAGTTCGTCGAAACTATAGATTTTACCCTCTATAATTCACGTATTTAATTTCATTAGAGGGCAACATAGGCTTCAATACAAAATGCGACAATTTTGATTAGAAAAATGCTTTCCCTTGTGTTATAGAACTCCTTTAACATTTCAGTAAAAACATAAAAATAAAAATAAAAAGAGACCCACATCACTTTTGAAAATATCGAATATTTTAAAGAACATTACCAGGGCCTAATCTAAAATTTAGATGACATGTGATACTCGTTAATGTAAAAATATGGTTGAAAACTTTTACATGTATTGTTGGGTTTTTGACCCAAATTAGAGGATTTTTTTTTTTTTGGAAATAAATTATTTCCTTATTCTATATTATTTCCATCTTTATGCTATGATATGTACCTATATATATATATATATATATATATATATATTGTTGCAATCTATATTAAATTCATATCGCGTCATTAACTTCATTCTATACAACCCTTTGGTCCCAACAAACATTTCATTGGGTAACTGTGAGTTAATTTGCAATTTTGCAGGTATGTATATGACAAAGTTAGTCTTAACTATCAAATTCACGACTTTATATTACACGAGATTTTTTTTTGTTGGGCAACATAATCACAGTGATTACGTTTTTTGTTCATTGCTTAAGCAGATTCTTGCATTCAAAATCTTTCACAAGTTAACCTGAAGTTTATAATGTTCTACTTTTTTTGGTGAAATTAATTGTATCGATATTCATCTTATGCTAAGTATGTTTCTTATAAATTCATTGATAGATCAAACTTTGGTGGATACAAACATTTGAAATAATATGACACATTATCAATGTTTTAACATAAGATGTACTCAATGCTCATTAGATTATATATATATAAAAGTGATGTTGTGTGATAGACTCAATAAAAGATATAAATAAATGTCTTGTTTAAGAGTAATGCTATTTAGTACAACTGGCATTACAACGTAGATTTATGTCACCTAGGTGACATTAAATGATAAACACAATTAAATGAAAGGTGGTTATCATGACACTATAATTTTTATTTGTTACATCACATATATTAGTTGTAGTTAAACACCTCAATCTTTCCTCATTATAAAAATTACCCTTTTTTTTTTTTTTTTTTTTTTTTTTTTTTTTTTTTTTTTCATTCCTTTATTATTTAGTTTTAAATAATATGATGCAAAAATAAATTATTTTACCTCATTTCAATGTACTTTTAAATATAAAAATTTTATTAAATACAAAACTTATCAAATAATGAAAAATTTGAGAATAAGAGCAACATGAAGTATGAACATAAATGTTGAACAAAGATTAAAAACTTTTTAAGTGCAATTAATATGTAGTGCAATAAATAAAAATTGCGGTGTGAATATAATTACCCTTAAATGAATCATATAATTCCACTTTTAATTAAACATATTACAATATAACACTTAAACTGATGCTTTAACACCAGTTGTGTTAGATAACATTAATCCTCATCTAGTTGTAACTCTAGTGTTACTTAAACTGATAACACCACTAATGCTAAATAACATTACTCCACTACTTTAAGAGCTTATGGAGGGCGACGGAAACATGTTGGTTTGTGATGAAAATGCAATCACTATTTATTTATTTTATTTTATTTTATTTTTGAATGAATGAATTTACTACTTGAAGAACCATAATAATGGAGCAACACAAAAATTTACAGACCCCAAATGTTTTCTTTACATCTTCTCGTAAATATGTTACCTGTTGAAGGAGCTCCTCGGCACTTTACATGCCCATACGAGAGGGAAGGCACAGTACAAATCGGTACACAGAATCCCTCTTTGTTTCCAAACTAGTAAGAAACTTCGACCAATTCAAAGATTCAATGCATAGATAATTTCTTGGGATGCAAAGGTTCACAAATGCAGGATAAATATTTTCACAGATTCAATTCGTTTCCGGATCATTCCAAAATTACATGAAAGCCGTAAAAAAAAAGGAAAGAAAGAAAGAAAGGGCATGGCACTGAAGCAACGATAAATATCCATTGGAACCAAGCTTTCTACTAATTCTATCTAATAATTTAGACTTTCCATACATCCAGGAAGATCCATCACATGTTAAAGTTACATAATTCGACCTAAACCTTCTTTTTACTGTTCCCCAACACACAAACGTAAGCACACGTTACGTCTTGAAAGACATGTCAGGAAAATATGATCTCTCATTTCAATTATTTTCCAACAAATTTTACAAAGATACATAATTTTACCTTCAAAACCTTCGTTGGAGACACAAGGGGAAGGTGTACGAATCCCCGTGCAACTCTCACAGAAGAATAACAATGGAGCTTCGCTTTTAAGCACGATCGTCGCTAACATGATTTGGAACTTCACTTTGACTGTCTAGAGGCATGTATTGTGCCATTATAGCCCTGATTTCCGAGTCCATGTATGACTGAAATTGCACCCCAGTGTAATAACATTAAGAAAATTTTTGGATTGGTTTAGGATTAAGCAAACAGCAGAAATACTTCAATTATGTACAACAGACTAAGAAACATGTTTTCATGTACTCCCCTACCCCAAACTAAAAACAAACAAACATCAAAGAAGAGCAAAATTGCCTCCTTACGTGATTGATATCCCAAATTTATTTTGAAAGAGACTCGAGATGGCTTGCACAATAATATTGGGTACACAAAAAATATATTGAATCAATTCTATCATATGTTTACGATAGCCCTGTCCCTTTGCTCTACATATATGAAAACAATTGTGGGTGAACTGGCTAAAGTTGCAATATAAGAGCTTAAATGCCAATTTACAGGCAAGAGTTCAAAATGAAGGCATCTTCAAGCTTGTACTTGAACCCTCGCAACATCGAATCAGAAGTTCAACAAAAGAACAAGAGGGTCTCTCCCTTCCCAACGAAAGGATAGATAAGAGTTCCATGCTATTTCCAAGCTCTATCACATAAATTGGCTAAAGTCATAGCCTAGAAATTTCTATCTGAAGATTTGGAATTTTCAATTTCAGAAGATACGGAATCGAAATACACTGATAATTTTGAAACCATAAAATTTGTAGTAGAACCTTAATTTTGCGGAACATTGTTGAAAGTTTCAGTAGTATTATGTTATGAACATGTTTACTCTAACTATGTTTAAGAATTAATTATATTTAGGCAGCGAATAGAGGCTAAACGGCCCAAATAGAGAAAGTGACTATCAAGATTTTTTCAAAACCCATGATTAGTAAGCAAAAATCTGTGTATAGAAAACTTACCCTCAATCTATATTTATATACGAGATACCCCCCACCACCAGCCATTGCCAATCCAATCAAAATAACCCAAACAGCAACCCAAGCAGATTTTACTTCAGTAGCTCTCTTACCTGCACATGCAAATAGGATATTGGATATACACTGTTTAAACATATACAAAGCAACAAAAATTTGCATGTTATCTCACTTATGCAGGTATCATGGTCCCGGATATACAACAGGTCCCCGCTACAAGAGCAATCATAACTGCCCCATGTATTCTTGCAGCTGCATTCAGGGCACTGGCAGGCTTTCTTTTCCTTACATTCATCAATATCTGTATGGGTAGAAGAAATTATTCAAAAACAGCAGTCAATAAGGAAAAAATTTATGCAGTTAATCAAGAATTGTTAGATCTGTTTGCACCAGTATTATAACACTTTGGCTTGTTTGGTAGAGGAATGAATAGTACTAGACAGTATTACAGGTGTAAAAGAAGTTGAAATCTCATTTAATATAGTGTCCAATCCTCGAGTACTGCATACGAAACAAGCACTTTGTTTAACCATCCATTCACCACCTATTCTTGAATTTCCACTTTTATACCATGTAGCCATGCGTTCATTATCTAATTCTTGAATAGCACTATTTGAATCACCTTAATACCTCTTCCAAAAGTTCGCATGTCATGTTACACCAAAACTCACATTCAACCTAGACACCAGTGACTGGTAGTTCTAGCATAAGAAGGGGTTGTTTGACAAAGCATTTCATGTAAGTTTTAGTAGACCTTGATAAAAGTTGATGAAATATGTGATTGAAAAATTGATAAAAGTTGTTGGTCCCATAAAATATGAGGTTAAAATTAATTGTTGACTTTAACCACAACTTCTTAGCAACTTTTTAAGCTATAGCAAACAAGCACTAAAATTGGGCAGGCATCAGCTTTTACAGGATTTTACCATATACAATTAAAAACTGAGCCTGAACTAAGCAAAGATTTTGACCACAACTTGCTATACTGTTGATAAAGGATATAAATTATGAGCTAAGCCTCAATCCTAATAAATTGGGTGAGTCTACATGAAACTGTTTTCATAATTCAGTTCAAACTAAAACTCTCTGACCTCCACAAGTTTTAATACCGTCGCCTTTAAATCCAGGAGGACATGTGCATTTTCTTTCTTCATTATCCTGTTGACATTTTTGAAGATATTTTTCAGAAACAAATTTTATCTCAGAGAATTCAGGCAAAAAAAGAAATAAATAAATAAATACTGACGATGCAGGCAGAGAAAGTAATTTCATTTCGGGTTTCATGCCAACAGCCACCATTATTGATTTTGCACCGTCCAGGACCACTACCTGCACCATGGAAAACATAGTTGATATAGAGTCTAATCACAGTAACTTGAGATGCTTGAAGAAGGATTATTTAAAGCAAAGATAAACACGAGGCATGATACTTTGCTATATATTCAAAGCAAGATCCATGTACAACTGAATCTTGATCTGGTACCAAATTTACGTGAATTAACAAAGTAGGAATTGACATAAAAATTTCAATTTTACCTGAGCTGAGAATCTTGTCAATAAGATTTACTACAAATAATCAAAGTACATAGAAAGCATATGCTTTAGGGAAGACTATTTTTGGAATTAAATGTCTATCGTAAAGAGTCCATTATTAAAGGATGAACAAACAAGAAACTGAAGTCATTCAATTGTAAATTGATAGAGCACATGATACGTACAACTCAATCAGCTCATTATAAATTAGAGGGAAGCATTTCTTTAGATATTTAGAAAACAAATAGAAGACTGCAAGATTCTGAATGCTTAATGTTGAATCTGTAGAATCTTCCACAAGAATTTCACTGACTGATTAGCAAGGCTATTCAGATCACCAAAACCTTCAAGTATTTAGATTGGACAATGACATGTACAAGACAACATTAATGTAATTCTTGGAAAAATACAAGATTTTTCTTTTATTTGTGAAAAATGTTAATCGTATAAACTAAGTGCAAATTATACTGGAAAACATAAGAAAATATCAAATTATAGCTAAACATAGATAGTCACTCTTATATAAGAGATGAGAATGCCAAGTCAAGATATCCTGGAAGAATTGAATTCATGAGCAATAGCATATAGAAAGTTTTTCCTTTCCTTTCAGATTTCAGTTGATCTTAATTTATGTATTTACTTGCTTTCTGTAGGTGTAAGGAAAGCTTAAATAACTATACATTAACCACCGATATTTAATAAGATCGAAAAGCAGAGTTTTAGAACTTCAAAGAATTACTACATACTTCGCCCTCCTCTTTATTTAAGCCAGAAAGACGCCAGAAGAGAGATGGAAGTTATCTAAAACAAAGAAAGGGGGGTGTCCCTAATTGTAACGATCCGGCCTATGTGTCCAAATAGTTAACTTACGTACCATCCGCTTTGGGAAGTCTAAGCCCAGAATTCAACTTAAGTCTTACTCAAGTGAAAGATCTTAGGTTCGAATCTTGAAAGACACGATAGGAATCCTTGAAGGGGTTGCAACAACCTGACCTATGCTCAAGCTTTTATATCCTACTGACCGCTTTTTGTGGACATCTATCCACTTACCTCCTCTTGAATTTCTATCGCGTCCACCAAGATTTGAACCCCAGACCTCTGCTTAATGAGAGACTTAAGTTAAATTTTAATACTAATTAGAGTGTTTTTGTGACTATCCAAACCTCATGCCCGACCATTCTTTTATGTACTATCCACTCTGAGAGGCCATCTTGTAACCATTGGAAAATTAGTTTAATTAGTTGGTTTGACCAACTTTTAACCAATTATTTAAGTGGTCCCGTTAGTTGGATAAAAGATTTATTTGGCCAAGTGTATTCTACTCCATGAGTAGATTAATGTATATATTTATTTTCTCAAAATCAATTAAGAATGAATGAGAAATTAAGGCCAAAAGATGATCACTTGAAGTTGAAATAAATTGGGAATAAAAATTGGCGGAAAATTTAAAAATGTCAATCCCACATAGGAAAACTAGAAAAATAGAAACCACTTTATATTACTCAAGTCTGGGACTTAGGTCTGGCCCTAAGGATTAATAGTCTTTGACGGAAAGAGAACCTACATGCTAGTAAGTTGAGTCAAAGCCCACACACGTGCGTTGATGCCTCCATTCGTCCGGTCGACCCATCACAGCACGAGCACAGGCATGGGTCGTGGGCTCTAGCCAAGCTAGTATATATATATTTCGTAAAATAACATTTGAATTATATTATTTTATTATTAAATTAAAATAATATATTCAACTTATATTATTTATTTTCCGGAATTTTTCTGTGCGCGACACATGGCATTCTAGAAACTGGTGGTTGACCGTTAAAACCACCTCTCCAAATGGTCGTCTGTTCAGTACACAACTTTTCAGTTGTCGTGTATTTTGTACACAATATTTCAACTTCTATAAATAGGTCCCCATGTCCCAGATTTTATTCATTCCAAAAATCTTTTGTGATTTTCTCTCTTGCAAAATATAATCCTTCCATCCTACATTATTTCATATTGAGCATTTCAGTCCCGAATATTAATTTCGTGCATTTTAGTCCTCCAGTTTTAGATGGATCAAAACAATAGTAGGTTTGCCTGGTCTTTTAATTTGGAGTGCTGCTATTACAAGTCTTAGTCATTGTATCTTTGGAGATGAGTATCGTCTTAAGAAAAAAGAGTCAAACTCATGCCCCAACCATTATCATTCTATTTATTCAGCTCATTTTGTAAGTCAAAATTTCGTCCAACTGTTTATATAAATTATTGCACGGTAAAATCAATATATTTTTTCAATGGTAACGACCCGAACTCTATACCTAAGCCGTTATGTCATACGTATTGTCCACATTGTGTGCGCAGAAGCCCACTTACCCCTCACAGATTTCCATCGTATCTCTCAGAATTCGAACCCAAGACCTCTGCCTCATGAGAGACCTAAATTGAATCCTAATACCAATTGAACAAGCCTCACTAGGCAGAGGTCTTGAGTATGAATCATGAGGGAAGCGATAGAAAGTCGTAAAAGGGTAAGTGAATAGATGCCCACCCAAAGTGGACAGTATGAATTGCATAATGACTTGGACATAGAGGCTGGGTCATTCTAAAAAACGTTCAACTTAAGTTTCTCTTTAGGCAGAAGTTATAGATTCGAATCCTAGAGGCGATAGAAAGTCATGAGAGGTAAATGGGCAAATGCCGCTCAAAGGGGACCATACATACGACATAATGACTGGAGCACATAGGACGGATCGTTACAAAAAAGCTCAAGCCGGCCTCTATGCTCAAGTCGTTATGTCATACATATCGTCTGCTTTGGGTGGGCATCTGCCCACTTACCCCCTCACGCCTTTATATTGCGTCCCCAGGAGATGCCTACCCACCCTAAATTTGAATCCTGGGGAAAGCAATATAAAGTCGAGAGGGGATAAGTGGGCAGATGCCTACCCACCTAAAGCAGACAGTACGTATGACATGGCGACTTGAACATATAGGTCAGGTCGTTACATTACCCCTCACTACTTCCTGTCACATTCCCCAATATTCGAACATGACTTCCCCTTAAGAGAGACTTAAAGTGAATCTTGATACCAATTGGACAAGCATGTAAGAGAACAGTCGGGCAAAATGCTTGGGTTGTTATACTAACCTTTGTGAAAAGTATAAATGGGTCCCAATGCATAATTTCTTGGCACCACCATCTCAAACCTCATGGAGCAAGGGTGGTTTTATATGGTTTCAGTACAAATGGCGGTTAATAGCGTGAAAAGAACATGTCTAAATTTTTATAGGGAAATTAGTAAATACATAACATTTATTAAAATAGAAGAAAAGAATTTAAAAAACAAAAAGAAAACCTTCATCTTGCCCGCACTCCAAACCCCAAATATCTTTCAAGAAATGGCGATGAAACTACTTGGGTATGCTAACATGAATCAACGGATGAAATTGCAGGAGGCAACGGCATGGTTGAAATCAATGGACAATTTAATCCCTGACCGAACCAGCAACTCAACTCCTGAGATTGGCTACCCCAAAGCTAGCATGAGCAGCCTCACCTAACATCCCTATTTGGGACCCATTTTTTTCTCACCAGCAACTCAACTCCTGAGATTGGCTACCCCAAAGCTAGCATGAGCAGCCTCACCTAACATCCCTATTTGGGACCCATTTGCAATTTTTGCAAACCCTACTGCAATTATCCCATAACATAACTATAAAGGGCCATCAAGCATAATTATAATGAAAGAATACCTCGTTTATACTTTTGTCTATATTTTATGAAAGAAGGCCTGGGAGGGATGGGGGAAAGTAAATGTGAAAGAGTTCTTTGAGCCGATGGTGCAAACAAATGGAACACGTCTTGATAATAGTCTACTGTAGTATTTGCATACTGGTATATTATAGAACATATTCTACAAAATAAAAGAATCACACCTATTTATTCATGATAGCACAGAAACACAGTTCATTATGACCACAGTACTTCGAGTCTGAAATGCACTAAATTGCAGAAGAGCCAAAAGCATTGGGCCCATCAATGGGCTGACTTCAGTCTATCGTCTATTTCTACTAATTTCAGTTTCAAAAATCATTTAAACAAAATTCGAATGAAGATGCAGATGCAGACTAACTATATGCATGTAGTGTCCAGCCACAACCAATTCACATGTTACACAAGCATATAGAAATTCTAGTCTGTTACATTAAGCAAGATATTTTATTTTGGTATATGGGCTCAGTAAAAGGCTCCTAGAAAATAGATGTTTCTAGTAGAAAAATTCTGACAAATAGTAGACAGTTCTAAAGAAACTATTTGCTTTTGCAAAAACAAATAAAGCAAAATAATTTACATACCAGTACAAAAGCTGTAACCATCCCCCTTAAACCGCACACCATTTACCACAGGGCACTCACACACTCTTCCTCGAAATGTGTCCTGAGAATGTAAAAATGTTAAGCATCAAAACAACTAAAGATACTTAATACCTAGTTATTGATAAAGCACCTTGCAAGCTGTAATATTAGATGTCTTGTCTACCCAGCAGCCTCCATTGTTCTCCAAGCACTCATTTGTTTCAACATCTGCAATTGGGAAGGTGATGCCTTTATAAATATCTATTAAATCTCATATCATCCAAAATTTGCAATATTCTGGAATTAAGTAACTCACCGCCACCCAAACAAACAGATGGCTCTGTAGTTTCCTCAAAACCAGCACAAATAGCCTTTAAAACAGCTCCTTTCTCCAACTTCCCTGCAAAGCTCATATATCAGATAAAAATATATCAATGCTGCTCAACAGAAATGAATTAGCAAACAGACAGACCTCGATATTGACGATTATTGACAACGAGGGTGGGCAATATGGTTACATCACCACGAGATCCTTTCCCAATCTACAAATCTCAGACATTTTGACCATCACATAAGATGTTTTAAATAAAATCATGTAAGGGAAACAATGATGATGCATTTTCGAATGATTTTACAAAATAGATAAGTACAAACACTAACCTGAGCATCTTGCTCCTCTTTCAGAACAGGATTGTCTGAGTCAGTACTAGGATCACCCATGCACTTTTCGATCTTTTTCAGATCAAGTCCTGCATGTGAGCAACAATGACATGTAATTGTCCATCGATAGTGACTGAGATTAATAAAAGAAAGGCAAATAATTACCTAAGGATCTGATAACACCCTCAGCACATTCTTTGTTGTATTTCTTTTCCTTCATGGGGCATCTTATTTGAAAATCAGTAGCATAATCCCACCAAACCCATGGCTTTTTATTCTCACTAGCCACTTTAAACACACAGAGCTGCCTCAAGTTCTCAAGAACTACATCTTTTCCCTCATAACCAGAGCTGAAATCTTGTTCGGGGTCCGGAGCACAATATCTTCCATGGTTGATACATTGGGACTTACACTGTTTGCTTATGGTGAATGCCTGTGGGCAGTACCAAGTTATATAATGAGGAGTAAACTGAGTATAACCACCTTTCTCAAGAATTTGGGCTGCACCCTTAAAATCCTTAACAAACTCCATCAACATATCACACTTAACTCCACACTCGTCATTGCTATTAGTCCATAGTTCATACTCCACCCGATCATCTGGGTGTGGGACAGACTCTCTCCAATCTAGATTCACATTTACCATATCACCTCCGCTGATTGCTTTCTTTAAATTTTCACCAAAACTTTTCTCGATCAGTGCTGAAGGTATTGTTATGTTCGCGATATACTTTGCAGATGCATGATCCTCTTCAGGTGAGTCCATGGTTATTAATGCTTCCTCAACATCATCAGCCACTAGAACTGCAGCAGCACCAGCATTCTGGGCATTCCAAACCTTTAGAGCGAAAAAGCAATCTGCATTGCAGAAGAATAAAGCTCAAATTCATCAAAAGAATTCTACAAAAGTTTCCGGTAGAAACATAGATAACAAATTATATCCTGCTCTAAAGGGAAATAGAGAACAGTTATTAGAAAAAAGGAAAAGTATATTAAAAACCAATGACAATATAAATCAACCTCAGAATCAAAAATCATAATGGTATAGACTGCAAAAGTCTCATAGTACAGCTTTTCATTCAAGACCTCAATCTAACCTAAATCCAACTCAAAAGTGCAAATAAATAATTATTAACAAAACAAGCTGAAATTGCAAAATATCTGGCGTGAATAACTGACTTGAACAAAAGTGTATCCGGATCCATAAATTAGCAATAACATTGAGCTTTACCAGAAGGTCGCGAACAGCTTCAAAGTCAATTTCAAACTAGCAAACTAGCATTAACTAAAATCGGCAAAAGGCTATCCCAAAAAATAATGCATTTAAACTCGAAAATATAAACTCATCAAGCATTTCATTTTTCATGGACAAAAATTAGCAAAAGGGTAATCCAAAAAAACCAGAAATTAAGCTCAAATTGAAACATATACTACAATCTAACTTCAAATTACACAAAAAGAACACATGTACCTCCACGGTCAACAAGGACAAAGAACGGCAAAGCTCCAGGCTTTGACTTGAATGAAATCCTAAAATCATCAAAATTCTTGCAGCCCTTTCTATTTTCCTTCGGGTACATCACAGTCCCTGCCATGCTACCTCCATACTGTGGAATCCCAAAGTTCCCAATTGCACTGTCATGTGTACCCTTGATGCTGTCCGGTGACGTCACCCTTAAGCTGTTCTTTTCCACCACAAACCGACCCACCACTGATTCAGCAAAAATTGACAGAAGCACCAGAAAGATACCAATTTCCGATCTTCTAGAATAACCCATTTGCTCGAATTTCCCGAAAAGGCAATAAATTGTGGAGATCTTTTCAATCAGTAATATTTTGGGATTCCTTCTTTGTGAACTTATAATAAAACAGACTAATTTCTCGAAATTTATCTGTGCGTGTTTCGGGTTAGAAATCTGAGTTGAGTGAAAATGTATAAACAAATTTGGCAGATTATTTTCTCGTTTTTCTTCAGAGTACGTCCTCTTAATAAAATAATATTACACCTGATTCCAGATTTTTCTCTTATTTTTTGAAATAATAATGCTACTTATGCTTTATACTGTATTAAGCTTCTATTTGAGGATCAATATTTTCACTCTTTTTTTCTCACATACTCATTTTTAATTATACAATAAAATATTTTACACATAAATTCAAAATTTTTTCTACTTCTTAATCATATATTCCCCTACAAATTATACTATTCAAAACCTTATTTTCCTCAAATAATAATTGCCAGACAAAGACAAAAAACATTACTCTATTTTTTAAAATACATTCTCTAGAAAATACTATTATAAAATTCATCTTCACAAGAGAATTTGGCCTTTGTTTGGACTTCATTTTTATTAAACTACATTTTTTTCTTTTTTATTTTCAATCATATATTCATCGACAATACAATATTAAACTTAAAATTTTTGTTTATTTTTAAACCATGCATTCACTAAAATATCACTATTTCAAAATATATTTTTTCTCAAAATTTAATTTTGATGGAGCCTAAAGGGGAGGCTAAGCAGTCAAGATCTGATTTTATTGTTTATCCAATTAATTGTTGACATGTTATCAATAACTAACATGTTATCTCCAATTTACCCTATTTAATTTTCTCACTAACCTACTAAATTGATGATGTATCAAGAATTAATTAAATAGACAATAGAGTAGATAGCAAAATTGAAGTTTCCTTTCTTTCTTCAAAGAATTAAGCCATTTGTACAATGTTAATTGACAAACATTCATTTTTTTTTGATACCCAGATGTCCGCCTTACAGCGACTAATCTTGGGGCTTACGATTCAGCCCCTCTTCACGCAGACCAAGTAAACCGCGGGTTGTGCCTCAAACTGCCCAGAGTCCAAGAGTCCTCCCAACTGAATTGTCAAAGTGCCGAGCGAGTCAAATCCATGTATGCGTCTTGCCTTCCAGGAGAACTCCTACCTTTCAGGAAATATTCTGCCTTCCAGGAGAAAGTCTGCCTTCCAAGAGCCCCCATAAATCGAACTCGTGACCTCTGAACTGCCTGCCTTGAAGAACTCCGTCCTTTATCAGTTGGGATGTGCCCCGGAAGGTTAATTGACAAACATTGTTGACCATGTTGGAGGTGGTGAAATCCAAACTCATAATTTAAAAAAACAGTTTCAATAATTTAAAAAATTGATTAATTAGATGATACCAACAAAGATTGTCATCCATTATTGTACAAATAAGATTATACAAGTAGCGTGATTATTCTTCAAAAAGGGTAGATCATAGCAGTATCAAGATTCGAGAGAAGTCTTTTTGTAATAACTCGTGAATAAAAAAAGATTTTGATAAAATAAAAAATAGTATTAAAAGAATGTGGCCAAGGATGATCTATTTCAATAGTGTGTTTCACGTGTTTTAAATAGTATACCAGCATTTTACCTTATTCCTCTAATCGAGGTGAAAACGGGTTAAATTGGATTGGATTAAATTCAAAACAACGATTTGGATTTGGTGAAATTTCAACTTAAAATTGAATTGCCAAGAGGAATACATAGATTCAAACTAATATGAGTCGGTCCAATTAGTTAAGTTCACAAGAATTTTTTTTTCTTGAAAATTATTTTTTAAACCGACCCTTAAAGTGAGATTTTTAAGCTTGTCGAAGCCAATAAAAAATAAAATTAACGTCCCTTCAAATTGACCCAAGTCAATCTAATGACAAAATTATATATTGAAAAAATGTGTAGTTAAAAATGAATATGTGGAAAAATGACTTTCAAATCAACTTTGCCAAACAAATGCTATTCCTCCCACCAACCCCACGTGATACATTGATACTCGCTTAAATATTTAATATGGGAATTTTGTAGAATTCATTGCCTAAGTTACTTAGGCTATATTTTCTGAATTTTGCATTATATGCTTAAATGCTATTTGACAAGCCTATAAAGCTACGATTTGACATTTTAGATGATCAAACTAATACGTAGACGTCAATTTGATCCTTTATTGTCCCTTGTCCTAACAATCAACTTCAAAAATTATCTTCCAAGAAACAATAACTCCAACTTTTATGGGATACTAACACTTCAAATCAAGTTGACCCCCGATTTTAAGAGGAGCAAGTTAGTCTTATTATTCAACTTATTACTATAGTTGAACAATCTTTCCTTAATGATAGAAATAGTTTCTATTAAATTATCACGTGATCCTTTAAGTGTCATATTGATTAAGAAAGTTTTTGTTAATTTAACAAAGATTTTAATACTTTCTAGAGGATTGATCGTGCAATTATAATGAAAATTTGAATATTAACTCATTCATTCTTCAATTTTGAGGACCTAAATGCTATTTGGAGAATAGATTAGGGACCAACACTGTAATTTTCCCTTAGATTAGTGTAGACCACTTACCAACTTATACAAGCATTTACCAATAGGTCTCTTTGAATTAGTTGACCAAACCAATTCTTCAAATGTTTGACATGTTTAACATGAAATAATGGCAACAACGGCATCTCATTGGTGATAAAGATATTTAAATAGGAAATAGAAGAATAATTATACACGAATTGAGACTCGAATTAGAGGTTTTATAAAGGTTGAACGTCAACCTTGAAGGTTATCACCGTCCTGCCCCTAGAGCTTTATGAGGGAGGTAAATCGCAGGATGTGCCCCAATAAGATAGAGAATTAGAGCTATCTGTACACTGCGCCAACAAGGAGTCCAATTTCATATCTCAGGAATCGAACCCCTACACTGCGGTTGCCAACAAAGCGTGAGATAACCATACTCCTGTCTTTTGCATCACTGGGCTATGCCCCTAAGGAAATTAGAGGTTTTATTACGGCATACAAGGTTGGCCAAAGCAATCGTCACTAGTCAATCTTGAAAATTTGCTGACTGATCAAGAAGCGATGACCAGACAAATGTTAGAAATCTCAATAAATAAGAGAAAAAAAATGCATTATATAATTATGAAAGAAGAGGTCAATCATTTCAACAAAATAATAGAGAATTAAAAGAAAATAAATGTAAAGAAAGCTATCGGACAAGGGACGCTCAATAACATTGCGACAAGATATGTCAGCTGCTTCAAGGATATCAACGAACTAATGAATCGTACTTTGTATGTAAAAAACGAGATCATTATGCTAAAAATTGTTGGTTTACAAAAGGAATCAATAGAAGATAATATAGAAACCTCCAACAAGGAAAAAAGTATAATAGTAAAGAAAAATAGAATATTAAGGCAACCACGTTAATAATTGAATAGCTCAAGAAAAGAAATTTAATTCAAATTTAAAAGATAAATCAAGATTGGTGATGGTCCTTTCTGAACAAATAAGAAAAGAGTCCAGATGAAAAGTCGATGCTAAAGGGAAAAATTGAAGAATCATCACCGACTTTGTGTTCCAACATTATTTTGATTTCCAGATTTTCCCAATTGCAGCCAAGCCTAGAAGAAACTAGAGGAATTCCATTGCTACCAAAGCTGGATAAATCTAGAATATATTAATTAATTGTTTATTTACCTATTAGATTAATTAAACGAAAATAATCTAGTTGTACAAACTTTGTATTACGTTTACAAACTAATTGTTGGCCATTGATTTTCAATGATTTCAAAAATTATTTTTTGAAATTATTGGTCTAGATGTTGCCAACACATGGTCTGTAAACCAAATTTGTCATACTAATTTGTACAATAGCATAACTCTAATTTATAACAGTTGCTATCCGACATTAGGTCCTATAAATATAAGCTCCATGTCAAGTATGTACATATGAGAGAATAGAGAGTGAGAGAGCGCAGGAAGAGTGGCGAGATAAGTGATAAGTTGTGATGAGCAAAAGAATGAGTGCAAAGAAAAGTTAGTGGAGTGATATAATTAAATAGTGAGATGCTTGCTTGAGCAGAATTTAGTGTGATGTGTAAAGGTGCGTTTGTCACAAAATTAATTGTACAAGTTTCTTGTGTAATAAAGAGAAATTCGTTTGGTGTTAAACTCAACATTCTTCAAAGAAGCCATATTAATGCAAACAATCAATGTATCAAAAACATCAAATGAAACCCAAAAAACAACCGACAAAACGGAGAAAATATTGATATGGGTTGGATCAAATGGTAAATGAACAGTGCAAAATCTCAAAAACAGCCTGATTCAAGTGAAATTCGGGATTATTTTCTTCGATTATTTATCGGTGACATGAAACCCAAAAATGTAAAACAGAAACGAGAAAATGGCGATATGGGTTTGATCGAACGTTTGATGTAGAATCCAAAATACACAAAAAAACAGGGTGATTCAAGTCAAATTCTGGGATTTTTTTATTTTTTTTTATTTTTTAAGAATTAAAGGAATCTTTGGTCTTACCAAGAAAGAAAACAATCGAGAAAAGATTCTACAGGGAGAATATTAGCTAACTGAGTGATTGAAGGATCTTGAGTAGAAAAACGAGAGCTACCTAATAGAGGGAATGCTGTTAAAACGATGGAATCCTCTATGCATATCCAACGGCCAGGATAGCATAATTACCTGTCCAACAGGGCCGACCCTGATATTTTGGATCCTTATGCCAATTTCAAATCAAGACCCTATATTTTGAGTCTCCTTGTATAGAGTTTTATCCCGTCCGATGAAGATTAAGCCCTTGTTTAAGCCCCATTTTTTTATCAAATTACATTCTTTAACAGCGTTTTGATACCATTTCAGCCACAATTTCTCAATAAAATAATATTACATGCAAACTTAAAACTTTTTCTTATTTTTTTTATCATGCATTCTTCATCATAACATTATTTCAAAATGTATTATTTTTTTTTTTTAAGAAAAATGGAACTCAAACAACCCCTGAAATCAAAATTTTACTAGATTTTGATAGAAATAGATAAAATATGTGAATTTAAAGTTTTGAAACCCATAAAATATGTGGTTAAATTTAATTGTTGATTTTGACTTAGATTAAAATATACCAAAGAGGGCTTAATATAATTATAAAGAATCTAATACAAACAACTAAGCCCCAAATTTGAAGAGAAAATTAACAAAATGTCAAATTTCAACCAGCAATATAAATTAAATTAATTTTTTGTATTTCAATTTTTATTAGTTTATTATATTTGCATACGATAATTTTATTTTCAGAATTTCATAAATATAATTTTCATTTTTCTTCAACCAATCAATTAACTTTACATAATTTGGGGCCCTCACCAAAGTAGGGCCTTAGGCGATCGCCTACTTCGCCTACACTCAGGGCCGCTCCCAAAAAAAGACAGAGAGTGAAGGGTTCGAAACACTTATCCAAAAAGTAATTTACCTTCAACACGTCGTCTAGTAAGGAGCTCATTTTCCATTAACATTTTACCCATGTACATTTTTTAATAAAATGCGTAAACAAGGCTTGTATATATGCCACTGTTTGCTCTAATACAATTTCGAAATATTTGATCTAAAAATTAAATCATTAAATAAAATCGATATATTATTTAAATCTTATCTTTAACAGAATGAATGCAATACGTGAACTTAGAACAATTTTAAACAAGAGTATAATCTCCTACACTTCAAGAAAGAGTCTCTTGCATGTAAATTAGGATTATCGTGAATTATTTTATTAAGTTTGTCAATTTCAACAATCTACTATACTAATATTTTGATAAAATCACGATAATCGTTTCACACGCTAAAAGTCTTGTAATAAGAACTACTGTTTAGATATAATGTGAATCTCGTTGTAGATAAATTTAAGTTGAAATGATCGCGTGTTCTTGGAGAATTAAAAAGAAAAATGAAATTTTGCATTTTGGCAGCTGGGGATTTCATAGTTTTTGACCTAAAAATAAGTCAAAGACAGCGCATTCAATCAGCTTACGGCACTACCAATTTTAGATGAGTACGAGAATTTGGTCAAAAAATTGCTGTCTTTTTGAATAAACACGCTGCCTTTGCAATGACCGAATGGCCCTTACTTCGAATTGCTAGAAACAAAATTTTCCATTCGTAAAATGTTTAATTTATTGCATAGTTACATGTAACAATGAAATAAAAAATTACAAATAGCAAATGGTAGCTCAATAGGGGTGGAAAGTCGGGTGAACCGCTTGTCGAGCAGCTATTAGTTTATGCAATTCGAGTGAGTTAGCTCGTTCACTTTCACTCGTTGATTTGTACGTGAGTCATCTCAAAGAGCGAGTCAAGTGACTCAGTTCACCCAATTTCTCACCTCTATAGCTCATGGAGCTGAAGGGAGGTAGGTTGGATCTAACCTCTATTTTTTTTTTTTTTTTTTTTTTTTTTTTTTTNTGCGAACGTAACAATTTTTTAGACGAAAGCCGTGAGTTGCAACAAAATGCATCTAAAAAATGAAATGTTCGTGTTCGTACTCTCTAGTTTCGAAAATGTTATTACGCCTTTGTAATGTCACGAAAGGATATAAACATAATTATAAAATATCTAATACCCACATGCTTCTATTAATTTTTCAACTCTATTGACCATTACTAGTATAAATAGATGTCAGCTAGTAGTTCAACATCACATTCATTACAAAACAAAACATAGTATTAAAAAAATTATTCAACATGGAAGGCTTAATCCCATTTCTCCTTCATGCCATGAAGAAACAAAGGCCTCAACATTCCTACCGGTCCCTCTCCGAGAACTCCACCCGCAGCTACCACCTGCTCATTGCAGCTGGAGAGTCGGTCGAGGGCTCGTCTCACCGGAGAACACGATCGGAGTTTCAGCCACCGAGCATCAATTTCCTCGAGCAGCGATCGGGCTTGGAACACTTTTCCCACACGAAAAGTTTCAGCAAAGGTTATAAGTCCTCTCCTTCTAATGTTGATAATGGATTGAGGCATAGGGGTCCTATTTCTACCACTAATTACAAGAAGTAAATGTGAAAAGTAAGTGGAAGCCAATTTGAGGAAGATATTAAAGTACTAGAAATGTGTTTGATAGTGTTTATTATTCCATCTGTTCATTGTGTGAGTTCAAAAAAAATCATTACATAATTGTACTTTGCGTAGACGAAATGCTTTGGAGAATTGAAAATTGAAAATAAGCTTAGGTTTAGATTCACGAAGTACAAAATCGTGTAATATTTTCTTGTAACGAAGTACATATTTGATTCATATTGTTTAAAGGACCATGCAACATGTACATTAAGATTTACATTAAGAATTACATAATCTTTACATGACACTCTACCATTTGTCAGTTTAAAATATAATTAACTTTTTCATTCAATCTTTTCCCTCCAAATCATTTTCGATAACTGTTTATGTACCATTTTTATGTACAAATAGCAAAATCCTTGTTTAAAATGCGTAATGATTTTAAAGTTGTGCAATAGTCATTTTTCAACAACTCTTTCAGCCAAATTTTACCTTAAAAAAATTGCAAAAATAATTTTTGTTCTTTAGATAAATGTGCACGTGAGTTTCCACTTCAATTTCCAAGCGTATTAATAGTTTTTCTTTTTTAATTGAAGTGGACAGATTAATTTTGTTAAAAGAAACTCATTCAATACAAAAATAAATAACTTATTAATAATTTTATCAATAAGATGTTATTTTATTTTAAAAATTATTTGAAAAATAAATTTGTTTAGAAAGTAAACTTTTTATGCTTAACCAAATATGCAGTTAATGCAATGTGTTGCCTGCAGCAACCAGGTCACTATTGAAACAAAATGCAATAAATCTGGTGCACAAAATAATTGTAATTCAAAACATAATCGTAACTTTGACTCCACAGTAAACTGATGAGAGGATTCTGGATTTGGGGGGTTTAAAGGAATGTTGCTTCAAGTTAGAAGTTGTAATGCAATCCTAAAATAAAGCGACTCAATGTTTATGAAGCCAAGAGAGCTTCAATTTTGGCAATCTGATCCTCTTCATTCTTTTGAGTCGGACTCCTATTCGACTCCTCGTAAAGATCGTGCTTCCATTTCTCAACACGGCCACCAGTCGGACGATAGCTTTGTCTTGTACCGAGTCTATCTCTGCCCCTGAAACCACTGCTGTTACCGTACCTCTCTCTTGATGAGTTACCCCTCCATGCCTCACCCCTTTTCGCCTCCCTCTCCTTCATGAATGATCTCTCGGGTCTGTCATAATTACGGGAGACATTCTCTCGTTCACCTCGTCTTACATTGTCTACTTGGAGATCTTGAGGGTTTGTGATTGCCTTGTCAGTTTTCTCAGGATCTGCAGGAATCTTTTGCTCTCTAAAGGAAGGCCGTTTACGTACATATGGTTTTGGATCAGCCTCCATTTCAAAGTACCCATCATGGCGCCATACACGATTGTCTTCCCCATTATCTTTAGCTTTCTCTTCCTTTTGCAGTTTATCGCTTGACACTGCTTTCTTTTCCATCCTGTCGCTATGCTGCTCCTTAGGATCTCTCCTCCATCCATGTTCTTCACAAAAAAATGATTTAAATTATGTTTTGGCATGAGAAACATGCAACAAGATATAGTTTGATCATTAACTACAAGCCACCAGCCGGTGGCAATTGAAGGCTATTTGACAACCTTGACATAAAACTTTCATCGACCTTTCATTACAGTGTGCACAATAAGTTCTCACAGAATGAAACTGTGCAAATCTTTACTAAATTGTCGAGTTCCCTTCATGTGTCCAGCTTTATAAACTAGGTTTTGTTTCCCAACTTGGACCAGTGTCCAGAAATTTGAAGTGAGGCGTGTTTCCTAGAGGGCCACATGATGATTTAACGAAGGTTAGAAGAGTTTCAGTCATTGGGGGCTTGATTGTGCAATTATAATGCAACATTGAAAACCAATTAATTACTAAGTCAATAGGTTGGCGACTAATGGTAAAAAAATTTCGGAAATTTTTCAACATTGTGATGCCCAACTCTCAGGAAAAACAATGGTCAGCTTTACTTATCAAATATTGAATGACATTTAACAATTCGGAAGCATGCAAAAATGGATCACACATTCTTGTCCACTTTTAGGGATAAAAGAAACTACAACCCAAAGTTTGATGCCCTCCAGCAACTGAACAAAACTGGTAAATTATTACAAGGCATAAAGAGAAGACAGGGACGCATGTTGTAAGGTGGGTGCTCATATGAGTTGGTTCTAGCGAGAAAGAAAAAAAGCTTATAAATTGGCATAGTTTAAGTTGGTGGTTTCCCATAAGAATTCCAGTGGCCAATAGGACAAGGAAAAACAATTGTCCACTTTCTTGTTAAGCCTTTTCTTACTCGAAACAATTCCACAGGCTGTTGACAACAGTTTAACGTCCCCAACAGTCCCTGCTAAATAGAAATCCCTAGGAGTAGTTTCTTATGAGTTCTTCTCAGTAGACAAATATATGCGTATAACAAAATCAAGTTCACTGGATATAAGATCTTATACACGTGTAACATTGAAATCACCTACCTCGTATTATTTATATTAGACTCTAACCGTTAAGCATAATTGAAGTCCATTAAATATCAAAGAGTGAACATCATTAAGATTAGAAGATTTAATCATCATTAAAAACTTACCAGTATCTGTCCTGCGACTGAAGCTTCTCCCAACTTGCCCAGCACTGCGTCGATCATCGTGCTGTATAAGGCATGCATAGGCAAGCCTAATTCTGATTATTAAACTGAGGTTTTTCTTTACAAACATCAATATCCAAGATTTATTCTAAACCTGGTAACGATGAATAGATAACCTGAAGTGGTATGCCATCAGAAACTTAAATATAGTAACTAATGTAATTGACGTCATCAGGCTAAACAAAATCCAAATTATATCGGCCCTGGGTAAAGGTTTAGCAGAATGAGTAAACAAACAACCAAACGACCAAGTTGAACACTGAAAGATGCATGGAATGATCTATCATATATTACGTGGTATTTCCAAATTTCCTGTCTTTTTGTATGTTTCAGACAAAGGCCAGAGAAGTTACACAGAGTGTAAATTAGATGGTTCAACTACTTTTAAAGATTCAAGGATTTATAAGATTTATAGAGTTTTATAAATAACCATAAATCTAATTCTACTCATTTACTTTTGGTTGATAACTAACTTCTGATAAAAGATTGGATTAATTATTCCACTGGATGCGAGATTAGAGGCCTTCGTACCTGTTTGACCATAAAGATTGCCATAACTGTGGCTCATTCATCACAGCAATATGGAGGCTTCCCATATTCTCCAATTAGAATAATTGATTATTACACTATCCAAAAAATACCAGACCTCAGAAATGAAACTGCTGGCCATTTTCAAAATGAGATCCAAATAATCATCCAGCTTTCAAGAAAATAGTGGATAATCAACGATGGTGGCAGGAGGAAAGTTCAAAGAAGCTGGTATACAAAAAGTTGATAAACATATATACCAGCTCATATGCGCATGAGAAGGAAATGCAAGAAAACTTCCTATAGTGCTACAAGAGTATCTATTCCTATTTACAATACCTGAAAGTATGATTCCGAACGAGGTATTTTAGTTGGGTCAGAAGAATGTTTGGTTCCTTCACGGTGTCCATTAGTCTTGTTTTCAGCTTCTTTGCTAACAGCTTGAGTTTCAACCTTAGATCCCTGTGCTGATGGAGCCTCAAGGGGCAATGCATCCTGCAGTCGACGTTGGTGCTTCTGACCCCGGTCCAAATGATCTTTATCGAAATCGATGTCAGCAGGCGGTCTTTCAGTTCCCGGTTTACCATCCCTCCTAGATCTCTTAGGACTAGCAGGATTGCAAGAGGGAATGGATCATGTTGTTGGACATTTATTCAATCACTACTCAGGGCCAAATACTTGAACTACATTCTATGTAACGAATAATCCATTTGCATACCAGAGAATGTATCAAGAGCATAAAGCATGGCGCAAGAGAAAAGACAGGTTCAAAACTATGCAACAGTCAGTAAAAGTTCAAGCATAGAATTTTTCTTTCTTTTCCTCACCGTGACAGTCCTATCTGCCTATTGCAATGAAAGGTCCTTTTTCCTTTCTCTTTTAGGCAAGGCAAGAACAAATGAAATGATAATCAGAGTAAGGGTAGAAATTATAACAAAATCCAAGGTATCAAACCAAATGTTTTCTATTCAGGCAATTGCTAAAACGCGTGTCAAGGGATTGGTAGTACAGACAAGTGCCATCTACGGACCCAAAACCCAAGGCTAATGAATGGCATTGATAAAAATATAATTGCACATGTAAATGAGACAATCATCTTAAACAATATTATTGAGCATATCAACGTGGAGAATCAACTTAAAAACAACTTTTGGAGTTACGAAATGAGCTGCTGGAATCACTCATACATGCTGGCGATAGAATTCTCTAATAATAAAAAAATTGGGAATAAATAGAACACAACGATCCACTGGTTTTATAACTGCTGCTTGCGCTTATAAGCTTAAGCTTAAAATTACCAACGTGAAAATTACAAAACAAGTGAAACAAAAGGCCAAGAGATTATCACACTGACATTATCCCGTACTTTAGTCATTTTTTCCTAAACAAAGAATCCAAAAGTTCTGAAAAACTCAGCTCTATTCATATATTTCACTACAGATCTACGAATAACTGAAACTTTGAAGTTCACATATTTAACCGAAGTTCTGTCATGAATCTATTTCATCAAAACCCAAGTTTACCTACATCGGATAACAAGAGAAAAATCTTGAATCGGTCTAGAAAAAACCTAATTTCACTTCAAAAGCAGAAACCTTGACAAATGACAAAAATGAAAAAATATAGATCATCAGGCAGAAAATGAAAATATAAAACATAAAAAAATATAAGAAAGTGTGGAGTTTAGTTTACCTGGGTTCCCGGTCGAACCGCGAACGATGGCGTTTCGAGTCGAAATTACGATCTTCTCGACGCGACATGAGGGTTAATGTGGAGCAGAAAGGGGAAAAATACTCACTCAGCTGTCTATAGATACAAGTCAGGAGTGTGCACTGGTGCTCACAAAAGCCACTCGTGAGTAAAGCCAAAGGTAATATATTTTCAAATCAGTTTTGCTGTGTAAAGAAAAATGCTGCAAGAATTTGTAATTCACTTGACAATTTGACCCAAAAAAAAAAAGAAAGAGAAAAGACCAAACCAGCATCTAAAAAAATTTCTGGCAACAAAATATCTGTACAAGGGAAATTGCGATTTTTAATTTACCACAATGTCCTCTAGTGAATTCTTGATCCTTATTACAATTTGATTTACAAGTATAGTCTCTAACCAGTAGACCGAGTGTCTCACTCTGCACATGAGCCGATCCGAATTTTTTAGTATAGGTCACTAGTCATGTCACGTAGTGAGAATGCTCATCTCCCCCATTCAATACGACAAGATCGTCAATAACTAGACATTTAGCCTATTTTTAGTAGTGATTGAACTAATTATATAATCATATGCGGGTATTTCCCAAACATCAAACTCATAGCATGCGTGTATGTCAACTGTTTGAGCTTGTCAACCTAAGAATGAGGGGGAAGATTGCCTTGAGGCTTGAAATTTCAGGATCCAAACTTGCTGTCCATGAAAGTTGGTATCCTAGAGGGACTACTTGAATGTGCCTTGTTGGTTGTGGGAGATGGCATGCACTATTGAAGAGAAAAGATTTTGGGCCACGGATCAGCAAGCTAGCGGAACATGATGAAGGAAGCTAGGGGAAAGAAGGACGAAAAGGCCGGGCTTTGCGTGATTGCGCCTATGTGCTTTTTAAGGGGTTTCGTGGAACGCACATTGCAGAGTATGAAGATGAATATTGTGTATTTGCTTGGGCATGCACTGAGGCACTGCTGCTAGAGGTCATCCATCTTATGGACTAATGTTTATGGAGGCATATGGTAAATGTTGCGTCGGAGGCGATATGTGCGAAGAGCACTGTATAAATGCTCGTCCATATGAAAATGGTGTCGTCACTATTTTTGCAATGAGAGGAATGAATGTTGATGTGAACCTCACTTCCAGTTAAAAGAGCATAAGCGGATTCGAATGGGAAGAATGTCATGCAATGAGAATGCTTATCTCTCCATTCGGCATCGGCAACAACTAGGCGTAGAGCCTTATTTTACCGAAGAGTGCACTAATGATGTGATCATACGGATATTTCCCTAACATCCTAGTCATAGTATTCATGTATGCCAATTGTTCGAGTTTGTTGGCTTAAGAATGAGAGGAAGGCTGCCTTGATATGTGGAACCTCGGGGCCAAACCTACGGTCCATTAAATGTCATATTGCATTTCCTTCTTCATCAGCTCGCTCAAAATTGAAAATAAAAAATTGAAATTTAATAGGGGGGAAAAAAAGTGTAACTCCTCTCCCAGGAATGAGCTAGAAGATGTCAATATGTAAGTAGTGGTATTGAAACTTACAATTTTTGGTGTTTGTTTTGTAAATTTTATTAAGTTTATGTTTGACTCTCATTTTCTAAAACTTATTTTCAACCACACACCTCTTATGGAATTCACAATTTTTATCAATTTTTCATGAAGTTTGATCAAAACCTACTAAAAATTTAATTTTTAGCAAAACTAAATCGGGGCTAAATTTCTCAATTTTTCTATAGTTAATACTTTTGTAAAAGATTTTTCAAACAATCCCTTATTAAATTCAATAACGGTAAATAAAAATAAAATTATTGATGGTCTAACTCACTCTATTTTAAAAAATAAAATTAAAGAGCTAATTAGATCTAACTCCAATATTTGTTATTTAAAATAAAGAGCATTCCAATTTTAAAGAATCTCTTATAGATATTCTTAATAAATAGGATCAACTCAATAATCAACTAACCCTATAGATCCAAGTGAACCATTTGATAAAAGAATTATTTTATTTTAGTACGTCCGAAAGAAGAAGAAAAAAACTCGCTAGCTTCAAAAGAAGAGCAAGTATACCCATGCTCACAAAATCCAAGTAAGATTCGAATCTACGACGAATTGGTTAATAGTTGACCGTTCTATCACTGAGCTACTGAGGTTTTAATTACTTATTTTCGATTCACCGGATCTTATCTCTTTTGAAAGAGGTCAATAAATTATTTTTTACTTTTGGTGGATTATCTAGAGCAACCCACATTCTTCTTCCACGTCTTCCATATATAGTTCGTTCGAACAACTATTTTCTCATCTTAATTTGTGCATTATCTCAATATTGAGACTCAACAAAACAACGAAAAGAGCAAGGCTTTATTTGTACTTTGCTTGTATTTATTTCTTTAAGTAGAAAAGTGGATTCCAATAAATCTATTTGCTAGACGACATCCACAAGTCTTCTATCTTTTATAAATGTCAAGTCTCGAAATATCGTTCGAAGCTCAGTCGTTAAGCTCAGCACACCGTACAATACCATATTCATCTCTAAAAATTCTACCAATTCATGTTGCATGTCCTATCACACATTTTTTTTTAGCGTGATTGTACTCGCAAAAGTAAAATATTAATTGAGTAGCCTATTTTCATGTCTTTTAAGAATGGACTTGTTGAATAACCTTACCAATATTCTTCTAAAATATAAAAATCTAATATACGTTCGTTGAGTATTGAAACATGATTAGTAATAAAACATGCGTGAATCATCACACGTTTTTCTGAATTTTTAATTGTTTACTTTATGATTTTATTTTATTTTATTCAAATAATGTTATTTTTAACCCCCGTTCGACCCCCATTAAATTAAATTTCATTTTTTCTCTCTCCTATTTTCAGTTACACAATCTTCTATAAAATAACACAACACGTAAATCGAAAAATTTTCCTTCTTTCTCAACCACTCATTCTCCAAAAAAATCGCGGAGCTCTTGGAATTATGCTCGAAGCAGATTATGCCACACCAAATCTACCTTATGTTCGGGCTTCACTCGACATGCATGCTTCAACAAAATTATAAATTTGCATTATAGAACTAGATGTCTCCCGCATGCTTAAACAGGTAAAATTTCTCATTGACAGACTCAGTAGAAGTTTTCCTTATCAATTATCTTTATCACTTCGTTATTTGAACAAACAGGTGACAAATAATGATGTTGGAAAATAATGGCAATGGAGAAAAAAATTATAAAAGTATATCAATGTAGGTTTGAACACAAAATTAATCTTCCTGTCTTCAAACGTTATTTGCCTCCTTTTCAATGCTTTTTAAGGATTTTCCGCAAATAATTTGTAGGATTAAACAAGCATTGACAAGAAGAACACCAAAAAGCAAATGTGTTTCTTCACAATGAACAAGTGAAAAAAGGAAGAATTATGTGATTAATTTTCTCAATATTGGAAGTATAATTTGGAGATAAATTTCAATGGAACTCAATATTTCTTTCTTGCACTTGGATCACCTATTTATAGGCCTTGACAAATTTTTCACGAAATGATGCAAAACAAGGATGAAAAGTCACCAATTTCAAATAAAAAATGGTCAAAAAACTAACCCAACAGTTAGTTTTTTGATAACCATGCGATCGCATGGTTATAGCTTCGCCAGCCCTCCCATTCTCGGGAGGGCCGCATGCGGTCGCATAGTTAAGCCCCTCTATTTTTTTTTTCTTTTTTTGATTTTGAACAACAAACAAATAAATTCCAACAAATGATTCATATAATTGAGTCCAACTTTATTTTTTTGCAAGTAATGTACCTAGCTCAATTCGTAAAGGAGATTCATGCACATCCTGCAATTCATGGCATAATATTTTTGGGATCAATGAGCCCTTCAGGATGCTGGAAAATGTACTTCACAAATAAAAATTACAGTAACTTGCCAACTGGGGATGCGGTCACCAATATGATGAAGGTACAAAGGCTCGAAGCTTTGCTAAGCAACACTGATGTTAATGGTTACTTTAACACTTCACTGTTTCACGAAGATTATGAGGTGAAAATCCACCACTCCATGGGTCGCGAATTCTTCCAAGATTCACCAATTCGGAGTGGAGACCTTAGATAAAATTCAAGAATCGCATTTCAAATTTCACGTATGAGCTAATGTAAACCTATCACTTTTGACACACATTTCAAATTACACAAATGCAAATGTGAAAAACTTGCAAATTACCACTAGTGATTAACAGAAGTTCCTCATCACTTATGTGTCGTTCATTATTTCGGGCCATAAGTTGAAAGATGTGTTTGAGGAGTGTTTATGAATTATTTAAATTATAAGTAAATAAAATGAGTGGTAGAGGAGTGAAAAATACTTATAGATTGACATAATTTATTTTATTTATTTATTTTTGGGAAAGAACGAGTTTTTGAATAATAAATCTTTGGAGAATATATCACGCTTCTATATAAAAGAGAGGATGAGGGGAGTACTGTTCATTTGTGATAAGCGTTCACACTTATTCGATTTTCAACGAGTTCTTCTTTTTTGTGTGTAATAAATACAAATAGATATGAATTGTTGTGTGCATATATATTTACTAATTCTCATCTTACCTTTAACTTGAATAATTAAGAAAATATGCCAACCTATAAATTTGAGGGTAATTGTGATAAATTGATTATTAGAACGAGGGCGTAATAGTCTTTTCAATTGAATCAAGTTTTCATCCTACGCATAATTGCTTTCAATTTTTCTACATTTGCTTTCCAATTTTTTATGTGTAGGGCCCTCTATGTGTTGGGAAGTGGGATGCTTTAGCATATTACTGTAGATGGTAATATGGTGTAAAAATTAGTGTACTTTGCTTTCCCATTATCTTCTGCATTCTTCATATTTACTGCTCGAAAGCATATCAAAAGCTTTATATTCATCATCTTGTTCATTACCTTTTACATTCTTCAACTTCAATCCTACTGAAATTTTGTGATCTACAGTATGTTCTTTTATTCTTCTTATATATATATATATATATTTTTCCATCGGACGTGTGTC